GTTTGCTATTGAGCCATAGATAAAAGAAACCTATTTTTTGGTTAAGAGGACTGTAAAATGGCAATTAAATTGTTAGCCTTTAACCAATTGGAGGTCATTCTCCTTTTCATTTCTGATGTCATCGATGGGAAAACCGATGATGGTCACTACAACAACTGCTGCTCCTGCCGCGGTTGCTGATAGCATCATCTCTTCGAAGGTGGAAGGGAGAGAAGGGAAGAAGAGGGAGCGAATATTTAGGCGAAAGTCGTAATCAACTCTCGACGAATGGGATACTATCGCCCCACACACGGAGGCGTCAGAATTAGGCTGGTGGAGAGGTGGTGGTGGCGGTGTTGGTGATGGAGAAGTTTGCGATAGCATCATTAATTGGCAGGCTATTGGTCAATGATAGCGATTCATAGGTCTTTGTTTATACCTTTCAGCCCTCGCAAACTAACAGCACAATAATCTACAGCATAGTTTTGGTGGAAATGAATAGAATAATAGAAAAAACTGACAAGTCTTGTGTACGACTTGAGCACTCGCAAATGCAGTGCTTAAGAATTTATTATGAATTTTTGAGCAATGTGCTATCTAAGGAGGATTTTGGCTGCCTACCTCATTTTAGTGTGTACTGGACCTTGGATGGTTTGGTCTTGTTTGTCATGATCAGTTTTTACGCTTTCAAGGCAAGCAAAATGGGCAGTTCTTGAATTTTAAGACTTTCTTCCTTCACATTAACCAGAAAACTTCTGTGTTTTTGCAGGATAATTGTTCTTCGCGATTTAAGCGATTGAATAAGTCTTGATATTGGCTGATTCATTAGAAACAATGTGAAATTCTGTGCGTGAAAACAATAAATTTGTTTTCGCTAAAACCACCTGTTGTACCGTGTTCAACTTAAGCCTGATGTTAACCTTTTGACCAAATGACGCATGGCCCCTATAGTTATTAGCAGTAATGCTAACAAGTACCCTAAAATTCAGCTTAAACGTCGTGAGTCACTAGAAAACCGAAGGTCGTCTGTGCTATCTAAACGTTATGCTAATAGTGTATTCAAGTACCTATGGAAAGAAGAACTGAATGTGCAATTGTACTGCTTCCACAAACCCCAGCATTTGTGCGTAATGATGCACCGTCTAGGGCATTTAGATGATATCAGGCAGTGCTCCACATATGAGGGGGTTTTGGTTAAAGTGGGTACAATTACAGCCAACTTAATCTAAGACTGATCCTGACGCTCAAAGTGTTTGAAAAATCCCTTAAAGTAAGAAACCGTGCAACAAGATCACTATTGTTAATCATGAAATATTAATCAAACGCGTGTCGTTCCAGCAAGTTGAATGACTATTTCCAGTATCATGTTTGGTTTCTAAACCAAGCAATTTTACATAAAACGCGCCTCACTAGCGTATGCAGAGGAAGCGAAAAAATTTTGGAACAAGTCCAAACCGAACGCCTCACCCTCCCCTCCCCTTCATCTTGGCTGCAATCCCCGAGAACAACGTACGCATATTAAATGCTATCAACTTCAACTCTGCTGTACGGAACTATAAACATCAATAATTCAGCAGGTCTACAACCATCTCACTCAGTTGAATGGGTGGGCAAGGCAAGAGAGGACGGAAAAGGGAGGTGAAGCCATGACAATTTTAGTCTGGAGGCAGTGAATAATTTAGGAAGCGAAATCTATGCCTAGAAATCTCAAACCTGGTGAGGTTGAGCCCGTAAAACATCGATTTAAAGTCCATGCACCAAACTGGTAGTACATTTATTTAGGTAAATTAAAAGTTCTTTGGCGTCAACTCAATCTTACTGATTTTCCTTTTCCAAATCATCAGTACCGCATAAATCGCCTTGAAACACCAATTGTCGTCGATTAAGGTAATTTTTTCATGCACTTAAAAGAATTTCACCAAATAAATTGAGTAACTCTTGCAGCGAACTCAGCTATGTTTTCTTCAACTGATTTTCGATAAAACTGAAATTTCGAGAAGCAATACCATGAAGTTGAAGAGGTGGATGACTCTTCAGGGTAACCAATCAACTCGCGGAAGTTGGCTACAAGGTGGAGAGTGGCACGGGAAACGCAAAATCGAATCCCAGCAAGCGACACAGAGAGCGTTTGAATGCCGAACTCGAGCACCTGGCCAGCCTTCTTCCGTTTGAGCAATCAGTCATTGCAAAACTGGACAAACTCTCCATTCTACGACTAGCTGTCTCTTACCTGCGGATGAAAGGCTACTTTCAAGGTAAGCCTCGTCTCTATGGCAAAAAACAACATACAATATTTGTCATTAAAGCAGTTTTAAGGAGAATCAATTAAGTTGTGCTTTCGTTTCAACCACCAGGAAATTCAAACCTTTAAGCGACAACTTTTGAAAAGAGAGAGATGTGATGAAATAAGTGAGCCAAAAAAAGTGGAGTTAAGATTTGATAAGTTTAGCTCTCTTAAGTTATTTCCGGACAGTGCTAAACTAGAAAGACAAAGAATTGGTCTCATTAACTGGAAAACCACCTGTCCCGCATTTCTATGGTTAGTGTCGTCAATTATGCAAATTGAGTAGATGGGAGAGAGGCATAGTCGTGGGTGCTGAAACGGTCCCAGTCGATTTGGTCTCCAAAGAAGTCCACTACCTTGAAACCTTAGTGATAAAGGTGTGCGCAACACAATCGCTTAAGAATAAAAGTAATTGGCTTTGTTTTGTCATAGCCTAATCACTTTGCAGCTATTTTGTTATTTTCCATTGGGTCGGATGCAGTATTAAGCTACAGGTATGACTGACGATCCTCATGGTAGCGTCTTCTTCCCACTCTTGGAAACTTATGGATTTATTCACCGTTCTATTTTAAATGTTTCGATATGTGAGCAAATAGGAATTCTTGCACCACGAGATAAAACGGTTAAAATCATTTGGGTCCTATAGTGTGCTTATTCAATAACTCCAATCTCAATGCAAAATATTATTTAGAACAATTTTAATTTAATTTGCTGTCTGACTGTTGATTCATCAGGGGTGAGTTTACTCGATAACTTTCGAGTTTATCCACTTCCCCTTCTCCTCCTCTTCACGCACCAACACAAAAAGCGCTCTGCTATAAATCAGCAAAAGCAGCAACAGCAAAAGCAGTTGTGGCAGCATTGCGTGCGTGCCATATTTCGTTTCGTGAAGCCAGTTTATTCGAAGAGGGATGGTGGTGCAGGGGTGGAGTGCCTAAACTGTCGCATTCACCTCTTTCCCATCTCCCCTTTCACTTGCCTCCCATGCAAAGCCACGCCAACCACAGGCAAACCGAGTGAATGACAATATTCCCTCTCCCACCCCGCAGCCAAAAGATGCAGTGATAACAAACGCGTGGTCATGTGAGCTTGAATTCACCGGATTCGCTTCGAGGTACTGAGAAGGGGGATGCAGCAAAGCGTCGGCGGTATTGGTCAAGTGTGCATGGATGTGTGCGTTTGTAGGAGACAGATGGCAGTGGAATCAGCCGTGAAGACAGTGGTGGTGATAGCGGAAAAATGCAGACTTTGGTGAGAAAGGCAATAGGTTGTGGGAGGAGAGGGGAGGGGAGGGGAGGAGAAAAGACTTAAGAGTTGAGAACAGCTGGTCTGGCTAATAAAGGTAGTCGGAGTCCACAACATGTGACGCGAACCTTACCACTTCTGTGCGTTTGGCAGTGTCAAAAGGATTTCAATAGCCATATAGTTAAGATCATTAAACTATTGGGGGATGATTACTATGCTAATCAAAAAATTATCAAAACTAACTTGGCAAAATAATCGTGACACCAAATCTGCAAAACAGTCTCAAGTAGGTCGTTGAGAAAATTCACAGGAAGAAATTAGTTATTTAGTGACTTTTTTGTTGCAGAAATGAGTCAACTTCATTGTTAAGCTCTGCAACTTATTTTATTTTATGAACCTGGCCATGTAAAGCACTCAGCTACGATCACCCGATGCTTGAGCAGCACCGGCTGGTCTCTCATCTCTACCACTGCCCACTCGACATCGTGCAAATGGAGGGAGAGGCTAGCCTGCAGGTATGTACACTGCGATGCCCCTTTTACTAGGTGACTATTCAAAATGGACTTTTGAATACCTGAGAGAGTACGCACTTACTTTTAGCAGTTGTATCAACGTTATTTCGCATTTATAATGGGGCACTATGTTGCCACCCGTTAAGATTGTGGGAACACCAGAAAGTTGCATGGAGCAATTTCCAAAATGAATGCAAATAATCTTCGTCTTCTTTACAATGCTCTGATGGTGCTTTGCATTTTTGTGTCTAAGGCGCTAAATGGATTCATTTTCATCGTCTCTTGCGATGGCGAGGTCTTCTCGGTGTGCAAGACCGTGGAGCACTACCTGGGATTTCATCAGGTATTGAAACTAATTTTTACTCTTTTCGGGGATTGGCGTGCAACATAGCTCCGAATTATAAAAAACCACTCACACAGCACACTAAGTCACATTAACTGAGACTTTCTAACTAAATGAAGCACTCTGAAGATAAATTTGCTAAAAAACTCAGACAGCATTTCATCAATCCATTTGGTGTCCATGTAACTTCGCCTTGCAAGGCTAAAGCCACAAACAATTTTTGCATGAGGATGGCGCAAGTACTTAGGCCTAGACGACTGGCTACGATAGAAAAGTGGACCATAGGAGACCACATGTCGTTCTGTGTTGGAATAGATGCTTGCGACTTGATTAATGCTGTGGTGTGAGGCTATCCACACAACGGCTCCAATTGGAAAAGGATGCGATCACCCAAGCCACAACTCCCACCGCCTCTAATCCGCGTACTTCACCCCCTTTGGCCACATGTCACGTGGTCGAAAACGGCGCCGCCTCTTATGTTACGGCTCCCTGATCAAAGGGTATCTAACCGGCTAATGAAATGCAGAAGATAGTTCTGTTTATCAGCGTTCTGTTCTACTCACCAAAGCCTAATCCATTTTGATTCAAAAAACTTACTTTTCATACGCTGAGGATTTTAGCGACAGTTTCTTCTATGCATTACAACTTTTTTTGTGATATAGGCGAGAGCACTGATGAAAATTCTTTGAGTGACGCAGTCCTTGCAGCCCGTTGTGTCTCAATACCGTTCCGGGTTATTTTGAATGACGTGGCGTGGACATATCCACAAGCGTGGTAATGCGCTAAAGCAACGCCTAACAGCATGCGAAATGCAAGTTAGTTTGAATAAGCTCGACGAACCACCAGGACAAAACGGATTAAACGAGAACAAGTTAAATGTAATTCACTTGCAGCATACAGTTGTGATTTCAAAATGTGGATTGTTCTAATGTTAACTAAAGTAATTTTCAAAAGAAAAAAGTAGTTTCCTGTGGTGTGGTTAATTTTTGTTGCGTGCAGAAGAGGAAATTTCACATGGTCGGTAGACGCTCACCCAATTAGCAATGTCACGCAATATCTTTGTGGCGGAACAGTCAAGTAGGTCGACAGAAGTTATTAAAGCTATCATTGTTTTCCGTAACAACAGCTACCGCCTGCACCCGAAATCTACTTCAACGAGTTGTGCATAATTTTATGAGTCGATTTCTTAGGAAAAAGTTTGTTTTATGTGGACTTATTTGAATAGTGAAAATGGTCACGTGACCAAAGCTTATTCGCCTCGAAAAATTAAAATGAATTCGGATAATGTTGAGGCCTCTCACGCATTCCTCAATGCAGTTAGGATAGCGTCAATGCTAGTGATGTGAAGTTTGAGTAGAGAG